CCCACAGCAGCCTGTGAAGATGCTATGCTACACAGTCACCTCAGAAGAAAAAAAAAGAAGACATTACCTAGCACAGCTGAATTATGCATTGCCTCTAGCTGCGATGCAATACCTTTTTTTGGATATGAATTAAGAAAAATGAAAATAATCCTATTTTCATAAGTAAGTTTTTCATTCAACCATAATTCTGAACTAGTCCTTAAAACAGACCTACATGCCAAGGCTTTCCTTGCTCAAGTACCCTGCTTTCAAAGAATGCTTCAGATTTTAAATTAATTCAGGTTCTTCACATTCAGAAAACACAATTCAACAAGTTGCTACACTTGAAAGCAAAATGTAATCTGTTCTCTATTTTGCTATGTTTACTTTTCTAGGAAGGCAACACTACATAAAACTACGTGCAAATATTATCTAAGTGGTAACTGCAGCTTGTTCAGTCAATAGAGTTCTTACATTTAACCATGTTCAGAGCAACAGTATATTTGGATAAGAGACACGCTCCCAACCCATATTCCCTCAGAAGTAGCTTCTGGCTCTGGATGAGCATGTATACCAATTTCCAAGCAACGAACCTTGTAGATGGTGCTACCTAGCTGAGCAGGAGACATGCTGACGACCACACCAGCGCTCTGAAGAGCAGCTATCTTCTCTTTAGCTCCACCCTTTCCTCCAGCAATGATTGCTCCAGCATGACCCATCCGCCTGCCTGGAGGAGCAGTCAGACCAGCTATGAAGGACACCACTGGCTTGGCATTTGGACCCTGTGAAAAAAGAAAAGGTACTGTGTTACATGGGGGAGGCTGAGATGAAAAGCCATCCCAGATGGCAGATTTATTTAAATACCAACTAGCCAGGCAACGATATTCAACAGCTAGAAAACTCATACAACGTGGAACCAAGACTCTGAAAAGTAGGGAACAGTTTCTCTCCCAATAAGCATTATAAACCAGAAGCAATCACAAACTTTAAAACATCTCTCTATGGAGCCAACTATATTACAAAAAAAGAGAATGTTGACTAGAAATATCATTACAGAATTAAAAATTAGAAGTTGACATTGCTTTCCAGTTAGATTTAATCTGGATAAAGCTCCTAATTTCAACTCTCTCTCTTTAACCAAAGTATGACTGTTTGTTTTTCTGTAAATATAGCTTAGAGACTGAACTGAGTTTTCCCTCAACACTGCAAAAGATGGCTAACTGGCAAAAGAAATTGGCTAACTACTACCAAGGTTTCTGGAAGCAAGGTGTTTTAAGACTTACAGCATTATTTTCTTTCAAGAATGCTGCTGCATCTTCTTCAGCATTTCCTCCAATTTCCCCAATCAATATGATCCCCTCTGTATGAGGATCCTTCAAGAAGACATCAAGGCAGTCAATAAAATTAGTTCCATTGAAGGGATCACCTCCAATCCCTGAAAAAAATTATAACCACAAAAAAAAATATTAACTCAAAAAAATTATATTGCATTTAAAATAGAAGTTTCAAAGCAAATTTAAGCATGAAGAGTATTTCCAAAAGCTCATAAGAGGGGCAGCTCTGAAGGCTCTTCCCAAGTCAGTGGGACAAATTCCAGCTCCAAATATCTCCCCCACAACTTACAGAAAGCTTTAATATCTGAATCGTCACCTTTCAAACCATATGCAAAATATCATGCCTTATGCAGACTCTCTGTATAAGACATAGTAGGACTAAGAGCCCAGCTCCAGAATCTTGCTGTAAGAAACCTGAGTTTACTTAACATACCCAACTAAATGCCTAAAAATGCCCTACCCCTGTATAATACTAAACTTTTTCAGAAAATGTGTGTCCGAATTGACATCATATTTTCTGGCGGTTCTCTGTTCATAGCTGGGGTTTTTTTGTAATTATCTGATGTGGAAATGATAATAGAGAAAGCTTATACTTTTCACAGCACGTAGGGATCTCATTTCTCAACATAATTGCCATTCAGCAATTTCTTGCAAAAAGAAATTACTTTGGACTACTTCTTGTGAAGAAAAAGCAGATTAAGTCTAGGTGCAACAGACTGTTTCTGAAGAAACCTACCAACACAGAAAGACTGCCCCAATCCAACTTGCGTTGTCTGATGAACAGCTTCATATGTCAGAGTTCCAGATCTTGACACAATACCTTTAGGAAAGAAAATGAAATAAACTTAATACTAATATACCTTTACATTCAGGAAAATCACCTTAATAGACCAAATGCCAGGCCTTCCTGCTATCCTTGCCAAAACATGAAAACTCTATAAAAGATTCTACCTATACTATTTACTGGTGGGCATTTTTTGACACTTAATCGTCAGCAGACTAAACGTACCCAGAAAGTCAGTAATACTGGCTGAGACAACATTCCTCATGCTGCAGCTTTACCAGGAAAAAAATCTAAAAACAAAATAGAAGAATATACTTCTTGTCTTGTATGTGAGTAGCTGATGCACTGAACTTGAGCTGCAGCTCAACAGTTAATAAAAGAATTCCGTAATAATCACATCTCCAATTTGGCCAGGCATACGAGAGATCCTCTAGAACAGAAAAATGCTGCACAAATGCAAATTATCACTATTGAGGTATTTGTAGTTGAGGCTCACTGCTCTACAATACACGTTCAGCACTTACATTACAATACTGCAAGAGACCACAACCCTAGTTTTAAATTCAGGATGGAAGAGACTAAATCAGGGGCAAAATATTTGCATGGGTTTTTTGGTCATTTTTCTAAGTCAAGGTTTCTTTTAGTACTGCAAGAGGGAAGGTTTCTAGGAAAAACAGACATCCTCTTCCACTTACTTCAAGTCATCTAACAAGGAATATAATGAGTCTATTGAATGAACAGAGGAATAAATACACCACTAAACTAACAACTTTAGTTTTATCAACTCTATACTGGACAGTGCAGGTGTCTGCTAGCAAAGGTTTTTTGCTTTGCTATGTTTGCAAAGGGCTTCCTGTTTACTATTAAGATCAGATTGCCTCAGAGAAGATACAGATGAAGGTCCAAAGACCAAGGCTATTTTTATAGCTTGCATCCCAAAGCGATCAAATGATTCTTGGACACCTCACAGTAATAGAAAGCTGGGGAGCGTATCACCAAAGGTCACAGTGTTAACCGAAGCTGGGGAGATAGCAAAGTTGCATTTTCATTCCCTGATCCTTGGATCACCATTGAAAAATGCTTCAAGGAATAGCGGGGCAACTGGATTCAGGATTTAAAATATTCTTTTGCACTTGATGTGCCTTGCATTCAGATTTTAGTGTTGCAGGACTACAAGACATTTCTTGTAGATATTTAGAAAATCTTAACAGAACTTTGATTCAGAAGGGAGCTAAAGGCAACATCTGTTGGTGCTACCTATTACGGTCATGGAGTAATGCCTTGATGGTATCTATATAGGGTATGATTGCAGTGGTCTGACTTTTCAGTTCCAGGTTTATAGGTACTTCTGAAAGGCAGAGGTGTCAACACATCCTCCAGTATTCGCTAGGTACAGCTTATTCTCACGTCAGTAGTGGTTAAGTAGCAGAGACAGTTTTTTTGTGTTAGAAAACCTGCACCGAGACCATGTAGTTCAAGAACACTGAACAGATTTTTCTGCAGTAAAAACACTTTTCACCAAAAATGTTGCTGCAAAGGGTACTGTGCTCAAGTTAGACTGCTGACCCCGGCTGACAGATACCAGCAGCATACGCTGTATACAATGCTTCTGAAGCTCTACTTAATTACAAATGCACACTAAAGAATTTTCTTTATAGCTCTTGAATGACACTATTTTAAAAAAAAACAAGTAGTTATTTCTGCAGGTTAGAAGAAGAAACCAGAAGAAGTCAGGACAAGAGGCTTGCACGCAACAGGGTGCATAACTACTGTCACTGCCTTTCTGACCTTAATTTTGAGGTCTGAGAAGTGGGTATATTTGTCACTTCCACTCGCCATGGTATAGTTGTCTAAATTATCATGTTATAAACTTGCCTGTAGTTTCTTCTCTTTGCTATAACAGTGAGCTCCCTATAGGCGTAGGAGCCTAGTCCTCAGGAGTTTAGCTGTTGGAAGGAATAGCATCAGAGAGCTTAGTGGTCTCACAGTCAAAGATAAATGGAGGCCTCCAAGGAGAGCGTTAAGGAAACCAAGTCAATCACATTACCTAAGGAAACTTTCAATTGCTTTGCCTCTACCATCAGTACTCAGTGCCTGCCGTGGTAGCCTGACTGATTTTGGCCTTCAGGATTGATAAAGGCAAAGTTCAGTTACAAACTGAAGGACAGACAAGCTGTTTATACAGCATGTCAACTGCCTTCAGGGCAGGATGTGACTAGCCTCATGAAGACAAATGGTAGAGTACCAAACTTTAGTTTTAGATGATGCATAAATATTCAAGAACTCACCAATTCTTCCCTTCTTGTGAATGTGACCAGGCATGATACCAATTTTACATTCTCCAGGCTAAGGAAAGAGTGGGAGAAGTCAGATGGAACATTCAAACCATCACTAAGAATGGTTCAGCCTTGGAGCAAATCCAGAAGTCACTTACATTGATGACTCCTGGGCAGTTTGGGCCCACTAGTCGAGTCTTATCTTGCCGAAGCAGTCTGTGTTTAACCCGAACCATGTCCTGCTGGGGAATACCTTCAGTAATGCATACAACTAAGGGCATTTCTGCATCGATCGCTTCATTGATTGCAGCAGCAGCAAAGGGAGGAGGTACATATATAACAGTGGCAGAAGCACCAGTTTGTTCTTTAGCCTATAATGGACATAATAAAAAAAAAAAAAAGATATTGAGTATTTAGTGGGGCCAAAGAACACACATGACAGCTAGTCATTTAATCCACGCCTATGAATGGATATATTTTAAGTAAATGGATATATATTAATTTACTATAATCAACGCAAGTGTTAAATTCCCTGAAGATAGGACACATACAACGCAACTCAGGAACTGAGAACTAACCACTGTCTGGAAAGGATCTGCTCCATGAATCCCCATTATAAATACCCTTAGAAAACAGTTTGCTAAAAATTCATCATACACACCAGAATCAATCACAAACTAGGTGCATGCATAAAGTAAGTGTATCCAGACTCTGTGAACTTCACAGTGGAAGCCAAACTCATGCTTCATCACACTGGATGCTCCCTCTTTTGCAAGGCTTCCATTTCGCTCCTTGCACAGTGACATCCATGGCTCAAACATTTGTCTCTCCAGTGTGAGCAATGAAACAAGGAGCCCTTCAGCAGCATTAAATTGTCTGCCCTCCAGTCACTGCTGCAAATTACCTCCTTCACAGAATTAAACACAGGCAGACCCAGATGAGTTTTTCCCCCTTTCCCTGGAGAAATTCCTCCAACTAGATTGGTGCCATAGTCCAATGCCTGCTGGCTGTGAAAGGTGCCCTAGGAGAGAGAGAAAAAAAAAGTTAAAAGGCATGTAATAGCAAATAAAACGAATCAAAAAAAGTTTACCTACAATTCTGAAGGCAACTTATGGCAGGTAAGTGTACAACGAGAAGGGAAATTTTCACAACCAGCTACTTAGAAGAGTACATCAGCATGTTTTAAATGGATTTAGCACATGCTATTTCTTTTAAATCAGAGCGCTGTGGTTGCACACTAAAGGACATTTTTGTGTGTTACTAGTACACCTGCAGACATAGAAGCCACATTTAATTTTCCACATCAACTCTGGCAGATGACAAACACTATAATGAAACAGAAGACATTAGCATTCTCATCCATGACTAGCTGACAGTTTTAGCAAGAGCAGTCTTCTCCCCTTGCAAACGTGCAAAAGAGTGAATGTGAGAAAATTATTAAGTATCCTGCAATAAAACCAGAGATTTAATTCATAGGCATTGACATTCAAAGGCATTTGTGAAACAGTAAGATTTAACAGTAAGATAACAGTAAGATTTCTGTAGTTTTTTGCCATTTTCCCTTTACAAAAGAACCCTTTCAGTTCTAGGACAAGAGGAAACGGGTACAAACTTGAATATAAGAAGTTCCACCTAAACACGAGGAGAAACTTCTTTAGTTTGAGGGTGGCAGAGCACTGGAACAGGCTGCCCGGGGAGGTGGTGGAGTCTCCTTCTCTGGAGACATTCAAAACCTGCCTGGACATGTTCCTGTGCAACCTGCTCTAGGTGGACCTGCTTTGGCAGGGGGGTTGAACTCAATCTCCAGAGGACCCTTCCAACCCCATGTGATTCTGTGATTCCTGGTCATGAAGTCCAGCAAAGCCAGTATGTAATCCCTTTTATAGGTTACTATGGTTTTCTGCCCAACTAACTGAACTGAAAGGGTGACAGAAGAAATAGTTCATATACATACCTGTTTGCCTGTAAAACCCTGGCAGATAACCTTTGTATTTTTGTTAACATACAGATTTTTCCTTGATGCTGTGTAGGAGCAGTGTCGTACTCCATTCTGTTGCACTAGAGAAAGAAAGAAAAGAGAACAAGACATTAATCCACTGATTTGTTACACTCTAGGTCACAAAACGTTCTATTGAGTGAGCACGTATATATTAATGCTTACATCAAAAGATTAATTGATCCAGTAGCTAATGTTTTCAAAGCAGCTCTGAAGATTTTAAGTATTTAAGATTGTTAATCTAAGATATTAAAAACCTCTAGTTCACTTGATCTGTCATTGATTCCTAGCAAACTGAGTAACTGCAAACTACGTATTTCTCATATTGAGTACTTAATATCAGAACTTCAGTCACAACAGACTGAAATAACATCTTAACCACTACTTTCATTGACAAATAAACATGCCTCTGTCCCTAAGAACTTCTGCAAAATGACAAAGCCGAACTAAAATCCTGATATCCCAGAGGCTGTTACAACATAGGTACTACATTACACATTCTGTGAATCATTGCACAGTCCTAGACAATGAGAGATACTGAAGGGGTCAAGGGTCCCTCAGCCCAGATGAAACCTAATGCCAAGCAAGACATACAGCAAGAGACCTTTTTCCAACTGATGCCCAGCTACAGGAGCTTAGACATCACTGCTTGAAATGCACTTGGGCTCGTGAGGAAATGTAACTCTCCAGATACTCCACTAGAACCATTTTCAATTTACTCCTTAGCGCTCCAGTCCCAAAAAAACAAAACACAACCACAGAAAACCAGCACAGTGAATGCTGGTATCAAAGAGACAAGGAGAATGACTGCATCTGTGCTGAAGGGAAAGATATGCTGACATCAAATTATTTTAAAAAAATAAAAAATGCACAGAACATTATCATACATGAAAGCTTGAGATGAGAATTAAAAAGAGGTCTTCTAGTTTAAAAAAAGGATGCAAACATTGCCTATGGTCATTGCCATGTGCTTTTTCAAATACCATCGTTTCAAGGGGATCACAAGCAATTTAGTCCCTGCAAGTGCTTTAGATAAAAGCCACATTTTGTGCTTAGAGTGAACACTGAAAGGTACAATCCTAATACAAAAAAACTGACACCACTATGTTACTATATACCTCCTTAGTTCCTTTAAAATTTTACCACTTAAGATTTGAGGAAGTCCAAAGCGAAGCTGAAATAAAAATAAGAGATTCTGAATCATGGTCCTTGGACTGTTCCACATACTCACTCAGGTACACCTGAACAAGGGAGGAATACTTTTTTTCCTTTCTCAATTTTTAAGAAGGAAGTAAAAGCTATTAAGTGGGAAAAAAGAAAAAGGAATTCTTCAATATAAACTACTAATGCACAGAATTCATTAAGATGCACTCTTAACATCTTGTAATAACACAATTTCTATGGGTTAGTAAAATAGCACATTTAAGATGCATGTATATACACATTTCTATCCCAGAACTACGTAGGACTCTTCCAGAAGTACTTCTGCCAACTAAATTTTAGTGATATACTGCTTTTATGCTTTACTTCTATTCAAAAAAGTGACAAGAAAAATAAAACCATGCCAGAGAAGCCTACAGACATCAGTGCTATTGCTGAGTCTAAAGTCCTTACTCTGTTTTTAAAAAGTGCTGACAGGAACACAGGACTTCAACCACCTCCTGCCATTCTCTAAGGAGCTGTGGCAGCACCTCATCTTCAGATCAATATAAAGTAAAATTCAGCTAAATTTTAAAAAGAAACGTACAGACGAACACACAGTAAACCTGTAAGCAAAGTAGTAAAAGTGCACGTCGCCTTACTGACCTGCAGGGTTTTAACCTCAATCACAATTTTATCCACAAATACTGTTACAGAACTTGTTACGACAAGAAGAAATACAAAGCAGCAATGGACAACATGTGTCTTAAGCTAGGATTGAACGAACAGGGTTAGAAGGCTGCCTGTGGAAGTGGAGAGAAACGTCTTGCTGTTCAGTGCCACAGCTACAGAAGATGGCACAGTATGGTCTTTGTGCTTGGCCAACAGCTCAGCCTTCCCCAGCAAGGCTACACCTGCACTGGGGCAACACCACGTCAGGCCAACGCACAGCTGGCAAACAGCACCTGCCTCCAGCAAAGGAGAGACCAAACAGGCAAAGAAACAGCTGCTCTGGAGAGCAGGGCATGGATCTGTCTGATCTCAGCCATTTGGGTGATCCCTCACGGGCACAGGATACGACGGAGTGAAACCCAACCCCGAGAAAAGCAGAGGATGACCCCCCTGTGAAGAAGCTGTTACAGTCACGACCTACCACAGCGAGGCCTTGGGGAGAAGGCTCAGGGCTGTGAGAAGTACAGGAGAACATGTTTTGAAAGGGCTCTGACGGCCCGCAAGGGTAAAGAATAAACAGGCAACACTAAACTAATTCAAATCCAAGTTTTACACCTACTGTTTGTGCTACAACACTGACAAATCCACCTGCAAGATAGAAGAGGGCTGATTGCTGGGCACATAGCACACACTCAGCAATTTCGGTATTTTGAAAAGAAAAAAACAAATTGACAAATAGTCACTCCTTTCTCAATACCATAAAAGCAATTCTGCTGTTCAGCTGTCCATTCCATATCTATTTTCAGATATTTATAACCTTGCAGAAAAACATTTTTGAAAGCTTAAGTTTGTCAACTCTCATTTTTGAGAAGACTATATAGATATATTTTCCAAGGATAAGAAGCTTTTGAGCATTTTCCAAGCTATCACAGTACCAAAAAAAAAAAAAAAAAAACAACTTTAGGCACTGATAACTTATAAGACAGCTTAAATTCCAAGCTTTGTATGGATTTACTCTTGAAAAGTGCATGTGTTTGTTGCTTTACTGAAGAGCCCTGGTTCAGAGAAAATACAGCTGGTTCAAAAAAGCCTGGCTATAGGCTTGAGCCATTTGCTGCCAACAGAGACAGGCAGCTAAGCATGGGCACATGTCTAGGGAAAGCTACATTTTAGATTTAAAAAATAAATAAATCACATTTCACTTTTTGGGCTGGATGTTTATGAGCTTTTGGGGGTTTTTAAACTGACATGATAGAGTTCCACAACTTGTCCCCATGGCCTTGTCTAAAGCAGAAAATTTTGCCCCCAGTTATCAGCACAGCAGGAGCAGCAGGGGCATCGATCGAGATGAGGTGCTGCTCTACGTGGCACAAACAGCTGGCAATTTAAAAAGATATTGATATAGATAGATTGAAATAGACAGATATAAGATGAGAAGGAAACAGGTGGAAAATCAAAATGGCACGCCTAAGTTCACTGCAGGTAAGAGTCAGAAATAGAATCCAAGTCTCAGTTTCCACCCAGGACCTTCATTCACTAGCTCATGCTGCTTCACAAATTCCAGTGCCTGCTCAGCCAATTCCTTTTACTAGCACAAATTAGGGTGCCTGATGTATGTTCCTTTAACAAGACAAGGGAGGGAGGGGGAGAGAAAAAAAAAAAAATTTGACTTCTGGTTACCAGGATTCAGCTGCAAACCAGCAAAAGCCAAACATTGATGATGCTATTTTAATGTACACGTCTAAATTACAGGCCAAGTTACAAAGGTGCAGCCTCCAGATGAAGCCCTAGAGTGTAAGAACAAGTCTTACAAATCCAAATCTTGCAAAAGCAGCGCGGAAACACTGTATTTTGCCAAATCAGAGTTCTAACATAACATTACTGTGTCCAATAAAGGCCTGTAATAAACCTTTAGAAAAGAGCATTAGAAATAAAATAAAGAACTGGATAATGTTTCCCAAGCAAGCCCTTTCACTTCTGCCCCATCCTTGTTCTGTTTTGCATAGTTTGTGGTTAAAAAAAAATAGTTATACAAATAACAAGATCCATTTATTTTGGCTTTCCAGTACTTTAGCTTCTACATAGCTAAGGAGAGACGTACTGTGGCAAGAAGCTATTTTAGTCCATTGTACAGGACAGTCAAGTAGCTGCAAAAAGTACTCAAGTACCAAAACCCTGCTGTCCCAGGACAGATTTGAAAAGGAAGATCTAAATTTTAGCAGAGGAGTATAAGCCTGTATACAAAACATCAGTTGTTTTAACAGTATAGAAACCTTAATAGAAACTAAGGGACAGAATTGCCTCCAACACATGTACTGCTGGTAGTTGCCAGAGGAACAAGACCCCAGCTGAGCCCAGAACTCACTGCAGTCCAAGTAACAGGAAAATCCAGCTATTACTTCTTAAAAGAAAACTTAGAATTTGTAGCCTTGGGCAGGGCTTTAAGCTCACTTGTCTATTACAAATAAAAAGCTTTTCTAGAAAAACATACTATTATTTATCAGGAAGTCCAAACATGAATTTACATGTTAAATAGAGAACTGACCCCTTGCAAGATGTAAATATTGTTTACACTGAGCTTTCAGGCACTCACTGAGCAGCAGCACCTCCCAAGCACAGGTCTCATTTAAAATGATACAACCCAAGCTACGTTTGTCCAGCTTATTTGTGTTGTGTGAGCCAGCTGAGAGTACCGATGCTAAGGGCTAAATCTCTTCCTCACTCAAAACTTCAGAAAGCTGAACACTTGTTATTTTCAGGACTTCTTGCAAGACTCCCTAGAGCTACTGACATGAATCCAAGTCAATATGTCTCCATCTTGCCCACATTTATCCCACACAAAAAGAAAAGAAAGTTTGGAAGCTGAGTTAGCCTCTGAGGCTGCTCACAAAAGGAGCACAGTCCAAAAGCATAGTAAAACAGCAGAGATTCCTTTCTAGAAAGACCTGAGCAGATACATACATTGCCAGAAGACTGACTAGGAATAAATTAAATTCTGCCTCTGAATAACCAGAGAACTTGGGGAAGGAAGATATTCCTTTTGCTTTCTATCACCTACATAAGGAAAGAAGAAAGCCTTAGACAGTACAAATGGGGAAAACAGAAGTCAGTACAAGAGGACCTTGAGGAAGAACTGAGGTGCAAGAGAAAATCAGGGAAGAAGTGAAGTACAAAAAACACTAGTCAAAATGCTAAAAAAGTTGGGGTTCCCCCCCCCCCCCCCCCCCCCCCCTATATTCCATCAGTTACAGCCCTTCAGTTCGTTACTAAGAAAACCTTTCAATATTTCATACATGTTTAATTTGCATTTTTATAACTGTTCCCCTCTCTTTCCTCTGGCTACAAATGCATCACCTGAAAAGAACAGAACAGAATCAGTTCTGGCCAGCTTCTTACATTACAGAAGAGCACAGACGCTAAAAAACGTGGCAAAGACCAAAGTGCTGCAGTAAATTTCAGAGTTTATTGTCTAGAAGCTCGAAATTAACAAGAATATTACACATGCAGTTTCCCCATTCAATTCCTTTATTAGGTTTTAGTCTTCATTATCAGGCCGTATGTACATATTCACACACACAACTGCATTTGAACAATTGTCTCCTCCTCCCAAACCCATCTACAAAATTCACACTTAAAGGTATCAGTTGCATTAGAAGCAGATGATCCTTATTGACAAAGAAGTTTTCATGCTATTGAGGGAATGCTCAAAATATCTTATTCCTGGTTTTAAAGAAGATTATGTGCTCAGAGAAGGATTTTTAAGTATCACTTCTCAGCCTCTCGTCTCACCCTTCCCTTGCCAAATTCCTGTTAATTATGGAAACCCCGATCTATGAACGTGGCACAAGAATTGAGGAATTAAGTAAATTAATCAGCCTGTAAAGCACAGATACAATGGCTATGCTACACTTACCCCATCAAAACAAAACTAGGACTAATGGGGAAGTGACACTCAGAAAAATTTCAATCCTTTCAACAAACCTCTCTTTCCTCATCAAAAATTCCCGCTCGTTGTGACAAACTTTACTGGCTACAGAGGGTTGCAGGAAACATGATAGTATTTGGGAAAAAAAAAAAAAAAAAAAAAAAAAGCTTTCTCCTGAATTTATGAAGCTGAAAGAAAGTGAAGCATCTCAGTGAATCTGCAAGCCTGCGGGGAAACAGGCACGTTCTTCTCAGTACAAATCAACTATTTATTGGAAGGCAACAAACTGTTTTTCCCCTTGTATACTCCACTAAGAACACGATTTGGAAGTTTTCCTCCCCCCACACTGTTTACAGAAAAACAACCAGCGAATTCTTCATCTTGGATTGTTATTTCTGCAGCAATTCTTTGCCAGGGTTACTCACATCATTTACTGTAATCTTTTAATCTAAGAGCTCTACAAGACCTTGTAACGTGCCCAGAACATAAGATGCCTTATCCTGACTTACAGTTAAGGTGCCTACAAAGACTTCAAAGTGTGGTATAGACCAGCATAAGTCTTTCTTGACTCTGTCCATACGGAAACAGTGCTCTCAGCTGACCTTTGAGCAAGCACTTACCACTCATTGACAGATTTCATACTATGTTTTCACAGCTTCCTGAACTGCACCTTCCAGGTACACACCCTGCGTCCTTACTTCAGCAATGCACCAACAAAGATAGATACTGCATCTCTTTTGCAACAGAACACACTAGAGATTCATGATTTCAAACCACCGAGAGAAGCAGATGTTAATTATTTGTTAGTGAAAATATATGTGCAAAGTCCAAATGTAAGGTTTCAGCAGTCTTTTTAACGTTTTGTAAAGAAATGTTAAAGTTTTTGAATGAAGGACTGTTTCATCTTGCACGAATTTTTTTAAAAGACTTCATGAACTGTTGCAAACAGAATGCTTTTTAAGCCACTTAAGACTACTTCTTCCCCTCTCCCCTCCCAAATCACTAGGCATTCGTTGATGAATCTCTTTACTGCTATTTGTAAAGGAAATAACATGGGTTTTTAACATAGAAAACTGCACCCAAGAGTAGCTTTGCTGGGAGCACAAATTAAGCTGAATTTGAGATGCTACATTCCCATCTGTTTCCCTCCATCAGAACCAATTCTCATTGGACTTAGGGAAGCCAATTCACAGAGCTGAACTGGCAAAAATTAACAGTACAGTAAGAAAACAGTTTTCTGCTCCTGCTCGTGGAGGACCAGAGGTAGGAATGAAAACCTGAGGAAATGGCAGTAATGCCACAGGAACAACTCAGGCCAGCTTAAAAAGTTGTGGGACCACATTATGAGACTCTGACCTGCAAGTTACCACCGCATCGAGACAAAATCGTGAAATGCATGCCGTGAAATGAGGTAGGTTTAAGTTTGTCCATTTATTCCCAGCTGCAAGAACCAACATTAATGCACTAATTCCTCAGTTTACATGCCAAGAAGTGGTTCTTATGCCTAGGTATACCCATACTGATTTCAGTAAAGGATGCAGCATTAACTGCACAAAAAAAGCACCTTGAAAAGAAAATGAAAAAGGCACTTTATTTTTTTATTGTGATTCAGAACAACACATATAAAAACTTTCAAGCTGAAGTACCAGTCTCAGACTGCTCACGTTCTCTGCAATTAAAGGCTAATTTTCTTATCCTTTACAATAGAGAACAACTTTGCCAACTCCTGTTGAATTCACAGAACAATTCAGGGACCTCCAGATGTCTCTAGTCCAAACCACCACTCCAAGTGACCAGACGCAATTCCACCAGCTTCCTCCGGGCCTTGCCGAGTTTTCAGTACTTCTGGAGAGAACAACCTTTCTGGGTCCGCAGACCTGCGGCTGACCATCCCCAACGCCAAAACTTTTCCTAGCTTTTAAAAATAGTTTTCCTTGCAGCCACGTGTGCTCCCTACCCTACACCGCCGCGCACCTCCGAGAAGAGCCTGCCCCCGCCTTCCCTCCCACTAATGCTCTGAAAGAGGGACAACCGGCACCGGGGAACAGCCCTCAGAGCCCCCCTCGGGCCTCCCGCACGGAGGCTGAGGAGACCCCAGCAGAGCGATACCCGGGAGAGGGGTTTGCTAGCGGCCTCCCCCCCAGCGCCCAAAGGCCTAGCGATGCGCCGCGGGACAGGCGGGACGCTCCCCTTCCCCCGGGTGACCTTGCTCCGCCGCAGGCCCGGCCCCTTATTCCCCTCCGGCGGCGGGCGGAGG